TAAATTTAAGGTGAATTTTTTTCCCATTTATTATTACTTATATTTTCCATTCCCCTAAGTAATCAAAGCTACTGAGGAAGTTTGAGGAGCCTATGACATAATCCATTGTGCTCACACCATTGTAGTGATAACATGTATGACATAATCCATTGTGCTCACACCATTGTAGTGATAACATGTAAAGTTTCCATTCAATCACCAGGCATTACCAGTATTAGAACATCACAGATTTTACAAAGTTCTAATAAAGCTTTTCCATGCATGTTTGAAGTTGTGCCTCTATTGATAGCACGAGCAGGTCTAATCGGAAATTAATCTATACATGTATATGTACCAAAAAAACCTTATTGTATTCGATTGAGACACGAGTGTTGTAAATCACTATATTGTTATCACAAAAACATTTTTCCTGATTTAACACGCTCAATCTTTCACATTTTGCTTTCAGCTAAGTTTCTCCAGTTTTGACACAGAGTCATGTTGTGATCAGGTTTATGTTTACGATGGCAGTACGACATCATCAACACTTCTTGTACAATATTCGGGGACAAACTTACCAAATATTCTGTTATCCAGCGGCCCAGACATTCTTGTGCATTTTCATTCTGATGGCTCTGTAACTAGTAGTGGATTCTATGCGTCATATACCATTAAGTCAGAATTGGACATATCAGGTGAGCTATCCATATTTCACAATTTAGATCATGCACATACATGAAAGTTGACCTAATTTTCTAATATGGTGACAAAATGTTGATTAAATTCCCCAAACTTATACGTTGCTTAAAATACATAAAAAACGTAGCCATAATACTGATGTCATCACTAACTTCAACAATTTACCCTTCCAAATGTGAACAGCCTAACACTATAAGAATTTGTCACTTTCTAACTTCTAAGCTGTGAAAGCTGTCATAACTAAAAACTAACAATTCCAAAAAAGGTTTTGTCAGCAAAAATGTCAAAAGGATGAGATACTATAATGTTGTTATAATAGTCCGTGTTTCTTTAGCATTTAATAATACACTAGCTTGTATTTCCAGTACTGCAATCTGTATGGAACAATGAACAAACAGTATAATGGAATAATTCACAACTATATAATTTTACAGAAGTCTGACAAATGTACCCCATACGATTTGGCTATGGTTTCTACGTATTATTCAATTAATTCAAATAAACTTCTAATATGTTTTTTACAGAGGAATATGAACTTGGTGATTGTGGTGGGTATTTTACCGATGATACTGGTATTATAGCGTCGTCAAATTGGCCATATAATTATGAACTTAGTGAAGACTGTTATTATTACATCACAGTGTTGACTGGTAATATTCATGTGAGTGGCTATTAATATTCATCAGTGTGAATTAAATTACCATATAATAGATAAAGCCACAGGTAGAATGGAAATATGATTGCAGCACCAATCATTGTTATTAATTATTGCCTCAATTTCTCTTTTATTAGATAACGTTTACAACATTCTCTGTTGAATAAGAACAGGACTACTTGTATATATTTGACGGTGTATCAACCTTGGCCAGTCTCATTGGGTTTTATATAGGGTCAGTATTACCAACACCGATACCATCTTCTGGAACTGATGTATTACTCTATTTCCACTCTGACAGCTATGTGTCAGTGATGGGTTTTATGCTACGTATATTTCAACGGGAGACACATGGTCTTATGTATCATCGTGTGGTGGATATTTGACTACTGACTCTGGTGCGTTTACGTCACCCAACTATCCAGATCCATACAATGATTATGATGATTGTTATTATTACATCTTTGTTTCACCAGGATATACAGTGCAGGTGAGTTAATTGCCAGAAAACAAACACACATATACATAGTTACATGTATCAAACAAACAGAGGCAACGTACACTGGGCGAAATAATCTTGGTCAACGTTTTAAATTGCATGGTCACAAGTGATGAAGTCCCATGTCATTTGTGTGTTTTGTATAGTTTAATTGTTGACCTAGCATCCTAATGCTTTTATTACACTGGGTGTACATTGCAAAACAGTCAGCAATGAAGGAACTTTTAACTTTGGTTTCCGATAACAACATGCTAGATCATACTGTTATTATTGGGGTCATTGACTATAGCATGAGAGTTGTTTTTAGTAGCAAAAGATCATAAATGTGTCTGCTGACGCATACATCCCCATGCAAGTAAATGGTATCTGTTCCGCTTGCTAGCCCTTCATACTGGTACTCCAATATCTCTATTTGTGTTCTCTAAGCAATGGATTTCTAGAAACTGGTATATCTTAGCAAATGGCCATGGGAAGCAGCAAACTATTCAACAATGGATGTTATCAGAGTTTGTTTACTGAACATTATATCCCATAATATGGTTTCTTAACCATAGTTGTACATATTGTGACGTTAAATGCCCGCGCGCGGGGGGGGGGGGGTGCTTTATAGGGCTACAACGTATTCAGGATGGGGGAGCTTGTCTTTAATGCCGGTCTAATAGTCTTTGTCTTTGGTAGCGTGCTTATTTTATAAGTCTCCTCCCTCTCAGCTCATCTGCTGTCACAGGGTGGGGATCGTTTGGTGAATGTATATCACCACAACTGAGACTGTGCAGAGAAAGAAATATACCAATAACGATTATAACAAATCAATATAACACAATATATACGGTTTCCTGTACTTTAATAAACAAATAACAGGGATGCTGGTCACTGGGAACCAGCAAGGGGAGGGGAATACA